CCTTTGCTGACGACACAGGCGCCATTGTTGAACCCACAGTCCAGCAACTGCGGTTCCTCCAAGAGGATTTGGCAGTCTTTTGCAGATACTCAGGGGCCCGGGTAAACTGGGAAAAGTCCCGGGCAATCCTGCCCCTGGGCATGGACCCCCTTGATGGATGGGATATCCCCACTGTGGGGGAGGAACAGCTGCATTTTTTAGGGGCTAACCKWACCCCGAGCTGGGGGGGCGTTGAACAGATGGCTATGCAAGTCGTGGCCGCGACCGCCAAGCTGAATGCATGGAGTGCAACTGTGCATATTGGAGTGTTCGGCAAAGCAATAGTAATCAAGAATTCCATGTTGGCTACCTTATGGTACGCTGGTGCAATCCACCTGCCAGGCAGACGAACGTTCGCCTACCTACTGCATGCCATACAGGCATACCTCTGGTCAAACAACGCCGAAGCCCAAGACTCCATTTGCAGAGTAGGGTGGAGGAAGCTGATTCAGCCACGGTGTGAAGGCGGGTTGGGTCTTCTAGAGCCGCGACTGCAAATGATGGCTCTGCAAATGCGCAACCTCCTGTGGTTCTTACTCAGGACGGGTGGAACCTCCTGGCACGCTCTTACCACCCATCACTTGGCATATACACTACGTCTGCCGCGCGCGTTGGTCGAAGTGAGCCTTGCCAGCAGCGGCCTCATTGGGCACGTGAGGCGGGGCACAGTCTGGTCTGCCCCGCTGGGAATGTGGAAGAAGATTAATTTGCTCAATACAGAGCCGGACACAGCGGATGTAGTCTACAACCAGCTCCTGTTCGATAACCGCTTCATCTGCGATGCATCCGGGGATGCTTTTCCATGGCAAGGGAAGCTGGGCGCGTTTGGGCAGCAATGGGCGGAGTTAGGAGTGTTCAAGATTGGCCATCTCTGGGACGAAGTTGGTGGCGACTGGAAAACGGAGGCAGAAATGGCCACACACCTCCCGCACCAAGTGCAACGGAGCCAACGGTTGACGGACCTCAAGGAGGCCATCCCGACCCAATGGATAGACCTCCTAAGGAAGGATAGCCTCCGSAGGGGAGAATGGGTCAAGCATAAAGGCGAGGAGTGCCCGACTCTGATCTACCGGGTCGAAGAAGATCGCGGCCAGCTGCTRGGCGTCACTACCTGGAAAGTTGCTACAGGTCACTACGGCCTGGGTAGCCCGGTAACCCAGTGTGGTACGGGCGGAACTCTCTCTCGGGATACGGTGGAATCCGTGTCAGTATGCCACGGGAGCAAGCAAGTTGCGGATCATATGCTCCCCTTCAGAGTGGCAGTAAGGCGCCGAGACCTCTCCTGGGACCCCCAAGACTGGACGTGGCCAAAGCAGAATCACCTGAAGAGGAAGTATGGCCCGCAGCTGCTGACCACCAAGCACATCTACAGGTCGCTTCTTCCGGTAGAAGACATTTGGGAAGAGCTGCGCGATCGTTGGGCCAAAAGAAATTGGCTCCCCCCGGCCCGCCTACAACAATGGACCAGGAAGAAGTGGAGATATCAATGCGCACTATGGGCAGCGCTTCCGGACCAAAAGCACGCCGGCCTCTTATGGCTGATAGCACATCTGGTCATTCCAACGACAGAATGGCAGGCCTCCAAAAGCAAGTATCATAACACCGCCTGCAGGGCAGGATGCAGATATGTGGAGACCATTCCACATCTCTTTGTACAGTGTCCGACTGTGCAGCCCCTTTGGGAATGGTGGGCCAATGAAATGGCGGCGAGCACTCCGCTGCAGGTCACAGAGGATGATGATACAGGGATCCTGCTGGGGCCCGTCACGAAGTCAGGGTATGAAGGCCGGGACCAGCTGTTGGCCGCCGAGATACTCAGAGCGGAGCTCCTGTGGACCATTTGGATCGCACGCAACGAGCGGATCAGGCAGGGTACGCAGCTCGCCCCCAACATGCTCAGACGACGGGCTATGGAGAACATTCAAGGCGGCGATTTCTAGCGATTTGGCACGCTGTATTAAGACAGCGGCCGAAGGCGAGGCCCGCTTTTGGGCCCGTTGGGCACCCTACGAATCCCTGGTCTCGAAGGGGGAGCGACCTGGCCAGCTCCGGTTTGGTCTGTCTCTGCAAACGGCGGCTCATGTCAGGATAGCGCTTCTTAAGCTTTTGCCTTTCTGAGTCGAGTAGTATCAGCTTAGTGTACAATAATAGGGAAATATTAGCTGTACAGGAAAACGCTGGGGAAATTACATATGGTTTTACCTATGACTACCATGGCTGTGTTTTACGGAGTAGCCGATCTTTTGCTGTTACAACAACCCGCATTACCTTTACAACCTACCTCGTAYGCAACCCGTACCCAGCTTAGTCAGGAGACCTTTATGCAGCCCTAACATGCAGCCTTCTCTTTTCGGTAGCAATCAATGCGAAGTTGGATCGAGGCAGTTTGGTACGTCATAGTAGGATACCAATGGGCAGCTCTTGTACAAAAGGTGCAGTAGTAGGACTAGACGGATTGAGTTCCCACTAGAGTCTGAGTAGGTATTCAGGACAGTAGAGGAATGAACTGGGTATGACGCAGTAGTGAAACGTACTGGGTATGACGCGGGGACATCTTCTCCCCCAGAACAGTAAACAAACAGGTGGACTCAGGAGACTTCTAGCGCTACCCCCCCTGCACCCCTCTCCTGCCGGCCTCCCCTGATCAGCGTCTGGGTACCGTCGCGTGTTTCCCGGCTGACAGAGGAACC